TTTTTTATTATTCTCCTAATTTAGCTTGAGCCAGGGTTTCAGCCGCTATTCATGGCCTATGGTTAGCATCGACCACCATCCAGAACGGCTGTCTGCAACATCATGCGTCCCACTGATATCTTTCCCTTAACTTGCCGCTCTTGCCCCGTCCTATCCTTTACTTATATCGTGTGCTTTTCCTCTGCAGATCTCCATGCGATAAAGCAAGCATTCAATCCACTCTTGCCCTGGTGGCTTCATTCTCCTCGCTTCACATTTCACCCACGAACCCTCCTCCCTCAATCACTATCGTCCTCAATTCTATTCTTCTTTTGTCTTGGATTGTTCCCCTTTTCCCCTTCCAGAGGTACCCCACTGTTGAATCGTTAAAAGGGCCGCTGGTCTCGCTGTCTTGTTTTCTGCTTTCATCCTCCCTGAGATCTCCATTCCTGTCCATTAAACGACTACCAAACGCCAAAGATTTCCTCCCAAGTGGGCTACAACTTCCTCTACATATTCACTCAATATCTATATCTTCGACTGCCTTTTGCCGTCTTCTAAAGGAATCTATTCCTTCACCTCCAATAAGTTCCATCTACCCCGCTACTGATCTGGAGCACTTGCTTCCGGGTTTGAGCGCTACAATACCGGACAGGCCAGAAAGAGATACCTGGCTCTGTCGTAACATTCTCCTTGCAAAGTGGCTACATTGCTTTCCTGCCTTACTTCAAAGGGTGCCACCTTACTCTCCACCATCAAACACAACATAGGTGTAGCTACAGTGAGCATGGTTCGCGGCCAACTGCCCTCTCCGCCTCACTCAGACGGACATCCCACTCCTGAACCTCACCGGGAAGGCTGCGGGATCATCCACCCATTATACGCACACGACGACATACTAGGAGCCGGAATGACCATGGATCATACACAGCAGGCTGTGGTAAGCATTCAGAGCTAGAATTACCACTTTTTGCGCCACGCTGACCTCTGCCAGGCTTTCGAATCATCAAATCCCCCGCGGTATCTTGCCAACAACGGTTACTTACAACAACCGGTAAGCACTTTTCTTTACTGGCATTTTCCAGTAGTTTTGTAAAGTCGTCTGTTCTCAGGCTAATCCCTTCTCAGATGCCGGCCCATGGCATTCAAGTCAACACACCGCCATCTACCTCGGATGACTGCATTGTCTCAGAGCGGACTTCACCCACCCCATGGCCTCAAAGGCCTGCCAATCGCGGAAAGGCAAAGAGTGGCAGAGGTAGTGGTGGTCGTAAGCCCAAAGCACTGCATGGCAGAGATGGCCCCTCGATACCCGGCCCGTTGAGCGAGTTGACCAAGCACCTGGCCCATATCCCCATCAGGGATATGGAAAGTTGGGTACATCGACCCATTGAGGTCCGTCGCCAGGAAGTCACCAAAAAGAATGGTAAAGTTGCCAGGCCTATGAATTCCTTTATGCTCTACCGCTCGGCATATACCGAGAGAACCAAGAAGTGGCTGGGGCAGAACAATCATCAAATAGTGTCAGTGGCTGTGGGCCATAGCTGGAAGTTAGAGCCACCAGAGATTCGCAATAAGTTTGAAGTCCTGGCGAACATCGAAAAGAAGAATCATGTCAAGGCGCATCCCGGTTACAGGTTCTCTCCAAAGAAGGACCATCGAAGAGGCGATGACCGTCGCAACAGCCGCCTGGACCACACACCTGACTCTAGTCCTGGCTTGGGGCAGACTCCCCGTACCATGAGCACATCAGAAATGGGGAGCGGATGGGGCAGTCGTGACTCAACCCCTATAGGTTTTATGGAGCATGGCATGCCCGCTGGTTATCTCAGCTCTTCTTGGCAGACAACCAACCCCGGTAGGCCAGCTCCAGGCATGCTGCCTCCCTCACCACCAGAGCCAACTCAGTACCTCCAGCAATCAATCCATCAGAGTCTCATGGGCTCCCAGGTGGAAGATGTCCGCTTTAACCGAGTCGATATGCAAGATCTTCAATATTCTTCTTCGACAGCTTTGGCTGGCCTACCAGGTGCTACTCACCATGAACTCCTTCAGCCGCAGACCTCTGTTCCTACACCAGGAGCTGGTGCCGATGGTCAGCTAGATCCACAGTTGCTTGGCTTCCAGGGAAATCCGAGCAATGGCGGGGGAAGTCAACCCTATGGCACTACTCACTACCATACCATCTGGCAAGACTCGCATGCAAGCAACAACTACGCTGCAGCCTCGTCGCTACCGCCGACCACGGTACCCTATGTAGCTGGTGCGGCTTTCACGCCGGGCATGCAACCGATGGTGGATGGTCGCGAGGCGTGGGAGTCAGGCCATGATGGGACCATGGACACATCCGGTACAGAGTTTGAACATTGGATCAATCCTCAACCGGCTGCATTTTAGGGATGACAGAGATCTATTTCGAATCCCATGACGAATGTGATGAAAGCGACGAGCTCGACGAACTTCTTGATGGAGATGTACGTCGTCTTTGTTCTCGGATTGGCTCTCTGATTAAATTGAACATCTTGATACTGGAGTTCCAAGGCGTACAGATCTAAATGACTTAGTGATATCCCTTCTGGAGGCGGTTTCTTTGTTTCTAATGTATCTTTTCTTAATCTTTTCTTAATCTCGCCGATATTGATTCCCAGGGGTGGCAAACTGTTGACTCTGATTATGTATGATAGCTCTTTGTCAATCGTTCACTCGCATAGAGTTGCACCGACTTTTGTGATTCAGATATACCAATTCATATCTAATAAATTCTACGTCATGTTTCTAATGATTCCCTATGTAATCGTCATATCTTAGATGTAACAATTGTGCTTATCTCGATAGGATCGAGGCTTTTGATGAGGATCTCTGAAGGGTGGCTTTGAATTGCACTCCAAGCTTTGATTCACGTCGAGTCGCATTGTTATCAGCAGTAATGACCATTTCGTGTATAGGTATATATTCTCCGCAACAGAGATGGAAAGGGCTTGACAATAACTAATGCTGTCTCCCATATTCGATTGCTAAGCTCTGCTCTTACATCAATTCTCCAATCACAAATAGTCCAACCCACATCTCTATTACACCCACATTTTTAGTATTTATTAAAAGTAGTCAATGACAGCAAGCTATTGAATTGTTGTATTCTGATGATTAGAAAAAGTCTTGGCAAACGCGAAAGAAAGGTGCATCACGTGAACCGCATTTTTGGAGATAGCGCTGCAAAGAGGGTTGTTACTTGATATTCAACATTGATTATTTTTCATGCCCAAGGCGATCCAAAAAGTTCCATCAGAAGAACCTAGAAGGACTGACGCACGCGCTGTACGCGACTGACTCAACGTGCAACGCCGAGAACCATACAATACACATCCAACCCAACATCAAGCAACATCCCCACCAAACCCAGCAACAATATACAACGCAAACTACTATACCCATAACTACACCTCCCTATCGCCCCAAACGCTCATCGCAACCTGCACCATGTACGGTGAACTCGGCAACAAATTAGTCCGTCAAACCCGGCCCCCTAAACTTCCCACCAAACAAAACCCCCCTCCAACTAACAAACCAACTCAGGTCCAACACGCCAAACGCACCCAATCCCTCGCCCACCTGCCCCCTTACCAAACCGAACTCGTCCGCTCCGTCGCCCGCGAAGTGCGCGATCTCGACCGCGATGTCAACCACCTCCTAACCCCCTTCTCCGGCTCCTTCAACCCCTCCCAACAGCCCGCAATCGCCTGCGCCCTCCTTGTCGACCACCTCTGCATGCGCCGCAACAAGCGTTGTCTCCTCGCGTACCACCGCGTGCGCACCGAGAAGCTCGAAGAACTCTGCTGGACGGGCATCGACGTGCTCGAGCAGCAGGCGCCCTCGGCCGCGGAGGACGGCGCCCAGACTGTTGCGAGCTCACAGAGTGGGAATCATAGCTCCCTGAGTCCCGAGGAGGAAGAATATTTTCGGCAGTATAGTGATATGTTGGCGGCATATAAGGGGCAGTGGACTGATGTTGATCTTACGGGGGCGTTGGAGCCGCCTAAGGATTTGTTTATTGATGTTCGGGTTCTTAAGGATGCGGGGGAGATTCAGACGGAGTATGGGTATGTTCTTCTTTTTTCAGCCCTTCTTTCTTGGTATTTTGGGAGAAGGGGAAACTAGTGGGGTGAGAGCTTGGTGCTGACTTCCCTTATAGGGTTATTAACTTGACGAAGAATAGTCAGTTGTATGTGCGACAGGGGGATGTGGAACGGTTGATTGCGCAGGGATTCTTGGAGCGACTGAGCTGATGGTATGCTTGTTTTTTTTTGGTTGGAATGCTTGATTTGCGAATGATTTCTATGTTCATGATACCCATGGAGAGTAAAAGTAGAGGAGCTAAGGCAGAACTGTGAGAATTATACATTTAAAGCAACACAGGCTACCACCGCCTTGTTATATAGAGCCATATTAGATAGTGTCAGCCCATGCAGAGGCATTAAGATGGAATGCCTCCATAATCGCAGCCCTGGCAACTTCATCATCAACCGTTGCCTTCTTCTTTTCATCCATAAGCACGCCCAATTCCCTAATACGTCGAGCCACCTCTGCCCACTGTACTCTCTGACCATGATTTTCCTCTTTAGCCTCAATATCAGGTGCAATCAACACATCCTTGAGCTTCCCGCCCTCCTTCCGAATCACTCCATCAACAATAACGGCATCAATGTCCCGAATCGAACTATGAAGAACAATGGCCGCAACCGGATCCCGATCCGCAGCGACCAGCAGACCGGGCGAAGTAGCATCATAAATAACAATATCCGCCTTCTTGCCCACTGTCAAGCTCCCAATCTCGTTCTCCATGTTGATACATCGAGCACCGTGGATCGTTCCAAGATTGAAGACGTCCCTTACACTGCTCCCTACATCCTTCGCCCACTTGCTGTGCGCTTCGAACTCCTCGTGTCGTCTTGCGCGTGCCCACTGCAGCACAGTAGACATTTGAGTCGGGATATACGATGTACAGACACTATGGCAGTCGATTCCCAGAGATGATATATGCTGGTACTCGGGATAGAGGCAGACCGGGTTGCGTGACCCATCTGGAGTTCAGTGATGGGCGTGCTAGAGATCTTCGCTCCTTTGTCACGGATTAGTTGGGTGTGTTCTGGTTTGGGGTTGGTGTTGTGTGATAGTAGGATGTCAGGGCCTAAGAGGCCGTGGGAATCGAGTTGATTAGCCGCCGATGGGGCATTCGGACCTATATATGCATTCAGTATAATATTTCGAGGCCAGGGAAAGCGTCATGGAAGACAAAAGTGGAGTACAGCCAGTCGAAGTACATACCTCCGAACGCAACGCCGTAAACTGAATGGGAAGTGATGAGCTGCGCCCCGGCGCGACGGACTCGTCCGTATACTTCCTTCAGGACCTCCCCGGGGAGATAGAGCATATCGAAGGCGAATCCCAGCCGGACTCGTCCAGATGGACCAAGTGGGTTCATAGCCGCGAGTTGGTCAAATGTTTCCATGACCCATGGGGCGAGTGGATCTGGGGCTATTTCAAACTTGGGGCTCCATTGGGTTACCCGGGCAGTGGGACAGTACCCGAAGATTGACCTGATTCCAGAGGAGATGGTTGCCCGGATAGCTTCTTTAGCTACGATACGTCAGAACTTTACAATGCGTGGATGATCATGTTATGCGAGTAGTGGATGGAGCTTACAATGATCCGGCGTAATATTGATATGAGCATGGTCCACTACAGTCGTTGTTCCACTGTCGATACACTCCAGCGCACCGGCTAGCTGACCCCAGAAGGTCTCGTCGGCTGATACGAAAGAACTGACGAAATTGCCAGTGGGGAAGTAATCGAAGAGGGTGTGGTTTGGGTGCGTGGCTTTCAGACAAGTCTGCCATACATGATGGTGGGTGTCGATGAACCCTGGCGAGACAATTTTGTCCGTACAGTCTATGATTATTGTGTCGGACGATGGCGGTTCAATGTTCGGAGCGATCTTAGTGATTTGCGACTTCTCGATTAAAAGGTCCTCTTTCGATGCATGAACGACGTCATTCGCATCGTGGAGGAGAAGTGTACCGTTCTTCAGGAGGATCGCGGAGGCCATTCTGTACAGAACCCAACCTTATGACGAATAAAGTGTGTAATGCGGTATTGATAGTGCGATATAACTGAATGCATGGTAGCACGTCGTGATGTATAAGAATGTCAGCTTGTTCGGCCTTCGGCTCTTCGGATTGGCCGTGGAGACCGTCTCATTACTCATACGGACTCATACGGCCTCCCGTCGGGCTTAAATGTGGAGATGATAAATGCTTTCTACAAGGGCGAGACCATAAGCCTCCCTGTTTACAGTACTGTGGAATGTGCTTGGCTGTTTCCTGGAATGCTGTCCAGTTGCTCTTCAACGGCCGACCCCCGAGACCCACTTTGCCCTAAGTAGATATCCACAGATGTTCAGGTGCTCAACAGATCCTTTCATAAAGAAGCCAAGATGGGATGCTCATGCGATAGCCACTACACCATCTGCAATGGTTATATGATATTTAGCTAATTTAGGGCCGGCGCCTTAGCCTTTGACGAAACTACTATAATATTGGAGCAATATTATGCTCCACCTGCAGCATCATGACACACATAACGTATTAGTATGTATGCGCTTACTACTAGTAGCAGGTACTCCTTCCCCTCACTCTGTTGCATTGCCAGATAAAGGATCTTGCATGACCCCATGTTTATAAGACATTGGCTGGCCAGTCATCGTTCGCACACGACTGTTTTAGTTTGTACAGACAACCTTGAAGCCAGTCTTGAATCAAACATCTAGGGATGGTTGTCCTGGGTTGTGCCAATAACTGGCTCAATCTTGCTACTTCCTATCCGTGGCCAAAAGACTATAACCAGGATTCTGCTGGCCAGAACTTGCCTGTCTGTATCCTGGTAGATGATTGTTTGGGCGGACAAAGTGTCGGTTTCAGTCCATGTTTCTAATAAAAGCCGGTGGTTTTTTGAATATATCGCCTCGCGCCTATCATCTCTCATGACATGCAATCGCCTCACAATTGAGCCAGTACTAGGCGTACATTAGCAATTTACTAAGGGTGTGTAAACTAGTTCCATACGATGCCTGAATATCTGTGGTCTCAGCCCAACTGTGTTGAGTTGCTGGTGTTCAATCCGCTCATATTTTGTTGAACCATCTGTCTTCAAGAACCTATTTTGCGGCCGGCCTGTCCCTTGGATCGGGTCTTCATGATTTTTAAGATGAGCACTTTATCTTCTGTTGTTATTTCCTGCTGACTAGCTAGCGACAATAGTTCCATTTCAACAATTTCACAGGTGGCACATCATCCATGATAAGTGATAGGATGTCTAAGGTCTCTTGATCAGTGAGGTCAGCATATGAAAGCGAGTACGGTCCAAAATAGGTCTGGTATCTGGAGAGAATCTATAGTTTGCATTCAAGGGGAACTTTGGGTTTGAAAGATGAGGTTGGCACCCTAGATTAAGGAAATAAGCTCAATAATAGGTTGTTAGAGGAACCAGAATAAGCATAAACATGAGGCAACCACCAATGTTCCAAATGTCCAAATATCAGTTGGTGGCCCCATTGCCATTCCAATTGTTCCTCTGTGCTCCTCCAGGCGGGCTCCATATGGGCGTACCAATCCCGACGCGGTCCCTGCAGAAGCTGGAGGTTATTTGGACTGTGCTCTCAAGGTCTGCAAGCTGGACATCTGTGACGCGTTGCCCACTTTAAGTTAACAGTGTAAGGTTCACTAAAATGTTATATACTTTGATATCTGCGGAGGAATTTCCAGTCAGAACTAGCACCTACAGTCAGAGGCTTACCCGAAGCAAAACCTTCATCGGTGAGCATATAGCCATCTTCATGTAGCACTTTCAATGCTTCAAGAATCCGCTTTGACACATGTCTCATCTTCCTTCGGACGAGCGACTGAGGATTTGGAGCGAGAAGATCGCTCTCCACATGTTTCATAGCAATAGCTGATGGGCCAGATGGTTTGACTATTTCATCTATCAAGGTACGCAGATGCTGTGTCTTGAGCTGGAATTTCCGAAGGACATCTCTTTCATAATGGATGCGGAAATGGTGGGCGGATTTAATTACGAGAGCCTGCCCGACTTTGTTCCTATTACCGAAAAAATGTACGTAAGTACATTATTTGCGATTGTTTTCGAGGCTCATGCGAGATTTGATTTGGAGCGCAAGTCACATCTTGAAGTCATTTGGGGCCAAAAGGCTTAGATAAAGAGTGGATCGGCGGCCGTAGCTGTAGCTCAAATCTCAACAAGATGATGCATGACAACGTAAGTAATGTGCTGCAGCTAAAATCTGACCAGTAGCAAGTGATTCATATCTATCATGTAATTGGTAGGATTTTAGTTACTCAACGGTTGAGCGTTAGAGAAGGTCAATCGGCAGATGCAGGAATCGTTAACTGTTTAGTCGGGTCTAAAGATGGACGAGAAGCACGGACCCCTTGCGACAGCCTATCACATGCGAGTCGATGCCTGCATGCCTGAAGCTTAGGTTTGAGACCAGAATTAGTTAATGCATGATTGAGATGAAAGATGAATCTCCATACTCCGTACAGAGTAGTCCAATATTAATTAATGACAACCAGTTATCACCAACCATTACCTAATGCTATATCAAGGATTCCCCATTGTACTATTCCGGATCAATCTAGTAGGACGCTAAACCGCAACGAGTGGACCCGACGATAAGTCACGGTTCCTCTCGTGATAAGACTTTTCTTAGTCAAAGCTCTGGCCGATAACAGGAAATCCAGTCCATTTCCACCGGCCCCCTCCCCCATACTCCTCTTCTGGACTGACCTCGCTCGGCGTATCTCTGCTAAATGGCTTCTCTAATGTCTTATTATCCTTCCGCATTTACATTTTTGCTTCTTCGGTAGTCCAAATAATGTCAATTGCTCCCGTGGTCTGACTGACACTTGCGTCATTCGGGATCACCGTTTTCTCCGCACCCAGCCTTTTAGTCGAGCGTCCAAAAAAGGGAAGAGTCACAAACGCCCGGGGCCTTCTGATCCCTGTCAAAGAATCAGATCCTTCCAGCCGGCACTTACGCGACTCTGACGACTACGATGGGTGTCTTCCGTCCACGAGGCCGCAGCGACTCTCGCGTGTCCGGGCTACCTTTCCGCCGGTCTCCCTTTGTTGATGATGAGGCTCCAGATGCGATTGAGCCTCCTGTAGAGCAGGCCAACAATGGTAGTCCTCCGAGAACACCTTTGGGGATCGAGTCCCTTGTATCTGGCGGGACAAGCCACAGGACGCCAAGTCGTTCCTTCTACCACCGATCCTTCAACAGTACTGCAGGTGTGAACCGGAGCCTTCCCTGGAAACGCAATGGCTAGTTTGGAGATTGTTGTTTGACTGACTGTTAAAGATCCCGCTCGTTATTCGTCTCAAGGTCTTCGAGAACAAACCGCTGAACTGGCTTCTTACGCGCTCTCCCTGAATGGAAGCTCATTGCCTCAAGAACGAAATACGCTGCCGCCGTCCCTCGATATCTTTCATCCGATCCAAGATACAGATCTCTCTTCATCACCCGCAGACACTGTAGTCCCAAAGCCTCTAGACACCGAGCCCCCCAGTGGCCCTATCGCTAGTTCATCAGCCTTGACTGAGATGATCCGTAAACCTTCCGACACTTTGGACGGTGTCAATGGCCGGGATAGTGCTCCAAAGCTGAATGAACTTGGTGAAGGTGATGCTTCCGTAAGAATCTCAGGCACGGCGCCCGGCACACGTGAAGCTCCTAGTACCGAACAGACATCTTTACTACCTAAGTCACCACATACGAAGCCCTTCCGTAGTTATGGGATCGCCGAAGATGTTGAGAATCAAGACACTATTAGGGAACGCAAGCAGAATGCATTTCGTACAGCGCTTTCGAGCTGTATGATTTGCTTCCAAGGGCTCATGCACCCAAAATCATGGAATGGGCGGAAGGTCTGGGAACAAGGTGTCATCTACCCTGTTAGTCTACTGCCTTCGGTATTCCTAGGTCTCTTGCTCAACATTCTTGACGCTCTATCATACGGAATGATTTTGTTCCCTCTGGGGGAGCCAATATTCTCTGACCTTGGGTCAGACGGTATCTCCATGTTTTACGTTAGCACCATCATCGCCCAACTGGTCTTCTCGTCTGGAGGGTCAATATTCCGCGGCGGAATTGGTAGTGAGATGATAGAAGTTGTTCCGTTCTTCCACCAGATGGCCTTCACAATTCTGGCACGTGTAGGTCAGGACAACCCAAGGTCTGTCATCGCAACTACTATTCTATCATTCTCGGCCAGCTCGGTCTTAACAGGTTTGGTCTTCTTCTTGATGGGAACTTGCAAACTAGGCTCCCTCATCGGTTTCTTCCCAAGACATATCTTGATCGGGTGTATTGGTGGTGTGGGTTTTTTTCTCTTGATGACGGGTGTCGAGGTTTCCGCTAGACTACCTGGATCTCTCGAGTTTACTCTCCCTACTTTGGAGAAGCTTTCTCGTCCAGACACGGTACCCCTTTGGCTCGTACCATTATTACTTGCCATTGGTCTCCTTGTTATGAAGCGTTTCGTGCGCTCTAACTTTCTGGTTGGTGGCTATTTCATTGGCGTCGCAGTTATATTTTACATCGTGAAGTTGAGTGCCAAGATACCAATGGATACCTTACGCAAGAGTGGTTGGGTATTTGAAGCACCATCATCTAATAACCCGTGGTGGCACTTCTATACACTCTATGGTGAGTTTCTCCTGCCAATGATCGATGTAATATTCCTGACCGTATTAGACTTCGCTGCCGTCGACTGGGCTGCCTTTCTTGATACTATCCCGGCGATGTTTGCTCTTACTTTCTTTGGAGTACTTCATGTTCCCATCAACGTCCCAGCGCTAGGAATATCCACGGGCGAAGACAATCTGAACGTTGACCGTGAGCTTATGGCACATGGTGTGACCAATGCCCTGTCAGGTTTTTCTGGAAGTATACAGGTATGGCGGTATCCCCTCCGTAACATTTACCGTGATGCTAAACGTCCTTAGAATTATCTCGTGTACACAAATAGTTTACTTTTCATCGATAGTGGCGGAAATTCACGTCTCGCAGGTATTATGCTTGCAGCCGCTACCTTGGGGATTCTCCTTGTGGGGCCAGTAATAGTCGGATTTATTCCAGTCATGGTCGTGGGGGCTCTCATTTTCTTACTGGGGATTGAACTGATGGAAGAAGCGCTAGTTGATACGTGGGGAAAGTTACAGAGGCATGAATATCTGACGGTAGGTTCTATCTAAAATTTTCCACGGCACTTCAAACTAACTTGGCAGGTCGTCATCATTGTCGTCACTATGGGCGCTTGGGACTTCGTTGTTGGCATATTCGTCGGTATTATCCTAGCGTGTATGAGTTTCGTTGTTCAGACATCCCGTAAATCTGCCATCAGGCGACGTTCTCAGGCAAGATTGCTGGCTCAACTGTCCGACGGCCTCCGATCCAACAGCGATTCTTAAGAGAAGCAGGACAGCAGACACTCATTATCAAGCTTGGGGGCTATCTATTTTTCGGAACCATTGTCGATGTCGAGAACACAATGAGAGGGTTGATTGAAGAGGAAGCTTTTAACAAACGTCCTATTCGATTTATTATTTTGGACTTCTCCCGTGTATACGGCATCGACTTCTCCGCAGCTGAAGCCTTCACCCGCATCAATCGCATTCTGCGAAAGCGAAACGTGCTGATGACCATCTCAGGGCTGAACACCGGGGGAGATGTCGGCAGAAGCCTTCAAAATGTCGGGCTATTCGAGTCAGGAACTAGCGTGCAGATATTCGAAGACTTCAACTCTGCACTTGAATTCTGTGAGAATGACTATTTGAAGGTCTTCTACAGCCACCGCGAAGCGTTGCTCAAGAAGAATGCGTCCTCGACGTTCCTAGAGGTACCTGGCTCACACAACCAGCGGCATCTTCACGAAAGTATCGTGGGCTCCCCTCGTCACCGGCATCTCCAGCAAGCAGCTACTACGACCCTGCGCGAGGATGAGACAGCCGTGGTGGCTCCGACAGCCTGGGCCTCCATGCGACAGCCCTTACCACTCTTACTCCAGACATTTCAGGGGTTAACTTCGCGCAACGAGGATTTCTGGTTCCGGGCTTGCACATATTTTGTCCGTGACACCTACGCAGCTGGTACCGTATTATTCCAGGAGGGCGACGTTCCCAATGGCTTCTACTTGCTTGAATCCGGGATGCTTCGTGCGGAATATGAGTTGCCACAGGGGCGGTATTTCGAGCTGATCGTAGCCGGACGGCCGTGCGGAGAATTGCCGTTCTTCAGCGAAACCCGACGAACGGCCACAGTCAAGGCGGAACAAGAATGTGTCGCCTGGCGTTTGACTACAGCCAAATGGCGAGATCTACGGGAGCGGGAGCCCGAAATTGCCCGGGAACTGCTGACAGTCAGTCTGAAGCTGACCACTGAAAGAATGGACAGTATTACTTCGTAAGTCGTCTTCGCCTTATTCTGCACTTAGTTTAGGCAACACTAACCCGATTCAGTTATGTTCTTACAATGGCGGCTTAATGATGCCATCTTTCTGTTTCTCTAAGCATGCTTGGGTAGGTCAGGTGTACAAATTTTTCGCATTTGTCGCATATTGTTGGTCATTATTTGAGCGTTATTTTTTTTTTTAGCATTTGGCATATGTGATACGTGGATTTGTTGAAATATGATCGCACATATTTGTCTATACTTGGACACGTGCTTCTCTGGAGCTGATGACGCAGCCTCCACATGACACTGCAGCTGACAGGATAAGAACAACGGAAACCCGTGACTTCTGTTGACCTAGCTCCTGCCTACGGGCTAGAGGTTTAGAGGGACCCAACGTATAAGTCGTAAACCTGATACTCACCCGAGAGATAGGACCATTCTTTATCTGTTTCAAGATTTCGAGTGGCTGATATGGAGATTATCGCTGCGGGGTAGATTTGATTGCCAGATGTACTACGGAGTATGTCCGGGGCTCTAAGATAGACGTCTGAAAGAGGAAATAGGGGATGGCGCAATCTTGATATCAGATGGATACCATTCTGACAATGATCCCTTTGTGATATAATGAGAGCCAATTTGCGGACAATATCGGAATACTACAGTACCTATGCTCCGTTCCTATGCGCGAAGTTACGCTCTTCCCCGGCCATAATCTCAAGACCACAGATACATATGTATACCCAACTACCAAATTGTAATGAGGGTTGAATACCAACACTGGCAAAAGTTTTATACATTCTGAAACGCCGCAATCTGCCACAGATACCTATAACGATCCAGTATTGTACTTCAAACCCCCGGCACTAAACAGGTCCAAGACACAGGCGGAACTTCGGAAGACATGAAGCACCCTCGTCCTTGTCCACTGGACAACGATAGACACGGGCCAAAGCAACGATCATCAGATCGACAGTGGCCTGATTGGTTGGATTGGTATCGTCCGTTGGGCTCGAAACGGTCCATAATGGAAAAGGGGGGAGTGGATCGTCTTGCTGAGACTAGTAAGAACTAAGTTAACTTAGTTCCTATTACTAACCACGACACTAATTAACTAGTTACCTTGGGACCAAAGACCAACCTACGAAGCTCCAATACTTGGTAGTATTACTCCGAAGGGATTAGGGGGCGTGTGAAAGGGCTTTTATCTACGTATCTGGTGTTTGAGGTTGAGTTTCCTTTTATTAATTTTTTTGGGGTGTCTGGTCTTCTTCTTTTTTCGCCACATCGCCAGATCAATTAAAGTAATTTTTTAGCTTCTGTCGCTAATTATTGAAGTCACCATATATGTAAGTACTCCATTGTCGCTGAAGAAAAGAAAATCCATGACGAACTCATACTCCAAACGTACGTACGACATACATCCGTGCCTCGCACCCTACCTCCTAAGCGAGCATCGAATCTCCTGCAGGGATGGCTTGACACCACCGCGAAAATGCATTGATAGGGCTGCGACAAACATTCCTGCGCGACAATAGTACCGCGCCAGGGTGGGGCCTCGACCTTTTACCCACCATGGCGCTACGAAGATGGCTATCGAGCCACGTCCTGAAAATCCGAGTGTCGATTTTAATTTATAGTCAAATAATCATCGTCCATACCCAATTTTATGATTTGTGCCTTCTTTCTCGCTAGAAAACTAGACTAGACGAGACTAAATTTCAGAAAAAGGTAAAAGAAAGAAGAATAGATGACGTGATAGGGGTTTTGTTTCTTCTTCTTTTTAATTTTCTGTTTGAGGATCTGTTGTTTCTGTTGGCCTTTTGGTGGTGCCCTTTTTTGCTTGTTTTTTTCTGCTACATGTGATGTTTGGGTTGGCTGGACAAGAGTACTCCGTTAGTTCAGTCGAGAATGGAATCGTCCTTTTCTTCTTCGATTGGTGTCACTGCCTTACCGTGCAAGTAAATCACCGGACAACCCTGGTTTGCGCCATGTTGAAGGGGGGTGTCTTTTCTTGTTCATTGGATGGTAATTCCGGTCACGGGTTAGGATTCGATACTCGAGTCGCGTGGCCCGGCCTTCTCGACTTCCAATGTGGTTTGCCTGTCGAACATGAATCTTCTGTCTGTATTTCTTCCCCGGTTAGTACGTACTACTCGGGATGCGAACACTGGTTAAAGGTTGGGGTTTGTGCACTGATGGTGGGTTGGTAAGTACGATGTCGAGGGCTCTTGTTTAGGTATATATTACCTGCGATTAAGAACAGCGCTTGCACATCCCTCTCCCAAGGAAGCAGGTCGGGAAAAAGCCACTGGTTCGACCAGGTTATGGCCTGGATATGGGATAGAGGGCCAGAGTAATCAGGTTAATAAACAAGGACTAGGCTAAGTTAAGTAAACTAACGCAGAAATGCAGACTAAGTTACTTGGTTAGCTTGTTTGTGGAAAATTTCTGTAAGAATCGAGATCGTTGGTGGATCCGTCAGGACTATGACCTGCGGTGGTCTGGTCTTTTTTTTATTTGTGTTTTTAATCCTTTCTTGCTCAGCCCAGGGTCAAGTCAGGGATAGGGAGTGGGTTTGATACTAGTATTATAGAATGTTACATCGCAGTTAGGTAGATATATACTGTGTATATACCTGAGCGCAAGAAAAATATGGTAGGTTTTGCAGTCATATTGTTAACAATCACAGGGACAATACAATGTATTGGCATGTAAAGGGAAGCCAAAGGAAATTAATTGTTGAGGTAAGCAGTGAACTTTTCTTTTTTTTGTTTTTCTTTCTTTCTTTCTTTTTTTTTTTTTTCTTTTTTTTTTTGGTGGTGCTGCTTCAAGTACTGCTATCATGAGGATACACAGACCATATGACTCAAGGTAACACGGTTCAACCACAATAACCCACTCAGGTTGATCTCGAAAGGAGTCTCCATCCATGGTACAGCTCCCGAATGGGTGGCTCGAGGTCCCACAACGCGGTGAGCGGATGACATGATCTAAAACATTGGACTTTGCTGGTGGTTTGATCTGGTGTTAGAAGCCCTGAAGAACTTTTCAACCTTGGTCACTGTATTCCATTCTCAGTAGATAGTGTATTTCCTGCTCAAAGGAAAGATTTTTTTTGGTTTACGTTTGGAGGGGGAAGAGAATAGCGGAATGATCGGTAGTTGATTAGGGCTACCCGTTAAGCTGCAGGAGCGGTAGGGGAGCTACAGTTCAAGCTACTGGTCGCTAAGCTGTCATAGTGTCGTTAAGGTCCCGGGAGTCTCATCTCCTTTTTGGACCTCTGGAACGACTTGGACTGGATAGGGGTTGCTAGTCTATGTCTATCCTTATTCTCCCATGAAGAATTTTTGATTTGACTGGATTTAGTTTCTGGTTCTAGACTAAATTAGGGAAATTTGCCATCATATATACGAGAGAATCGTTCCATTGACGTCCATGCTTCAACCCCGACCCTTTTTCTTCTCGACGTTTCAACCTGTTGCCAGTCCTGGATGGCTCCCTTCCCAGGTGTTTGAAAGGTAATCATGATCTTGTCCAACCAGGCAGAGAGAATGGATGGTACCTCACAATCATCCCTACCGAACGACATCGTCACCTGCAGAAGTGTCGTCGGGATGAGAAGCACCTGATACTCGTCTGCATCAATCCGATGGGGCCGCCCCTTATTCTGGACGGGCCATTGGACCAAAAAAAAGTAAATTTAAGTAAAAAAATAAAATAAAAAGTGGAACCCAAGACAATAAAAAATAAAAAATACAACCAAAATATCCTCCTCCGTATACTCCTTAGCTTTCCACGCCCCACTCTCCTCCTCCTTCTCTCTTTACTCTATACTTTTTTCTCTTCCTGGCGTCCAAGGTTGTTGCCGCCCTGCAGCTCCTTTCCCTTTCTGGGGCTTCTGCCCACACCCTTTCATTATTTTCACCCTCCTTTCGCCCCTTCTCCTTCTTTGTCCTCGTTCTTTTTTCTTTCTTCTCTTCCTCTCTTCTCTCTTCATTCCATTCTGCTTCTGCACTTCTTCCAGAGCAACGACTTTGTTCGCTTCTTCCCTCCCCAAACTCTTTACCTTTCGTTGTGATACCCGAGCTTCAAGCTTCGTGCTCTGAGAGCTCTTGTTTTCTGTTGAGATACCCCCTTAAGATACCCAAACGGACGTGACTCTTTATTACGAAGCCACTTCAGCTTCTATTAACAACTTTTAATCTCATCTCTACTATTATAATTGCCACTTAATCCCTACCGACAATATGTCCGACGTCCAGAAGCCTGTTGAGGAGACTCCCGCTCCCGCTGCCGCTGCCGCGCCTGTCACCGAAGCGCCTGCTGAGACTCCCGCCACTGAGACTCCTGCTGCTGAGGCTCCCCAGGAAACGGCCGCCGAAAACACTGAGGCTACTCCCGCTGCTGCGGAGGAGAAGAAGGATGAGGCCCCCGCTGAACAGCCCAAGGAGGAGGCTAAGGAGGAGGTGACCCCCGCATCGGAGGGTGTCCTCGGTCACAAGGCCCCCGGCCTCGTCAAGTAAGCGTCGCATGTTGCAATGGATCTGCAGTACAAGTGACTAATCACATGGACTATAGGAGCTTGCGCTTCGCCAAGCGCTTCTTCTACTTCAGCGAGGGCGCTGTCGAGGCTAAGCAGCTGTCTGCTTTCCACCAGAATGAGAAGCCCGCTGTTGCCAACCCCATCGCTGCCTGGGCTAGCCAAACCGGCAAGGGTCTTTTGTTCTTCACCAAGCGTGCTGAGGACAAGAACACCCCTACCGGAATCTTCAATTTGGTCAGTATATTGCTTGTTCTGTGAGGTGTGTAATACTGACGTGGAGCAGGCTGAGATCACTGATGTCACCAAGGAGGGCTCCAGCGAATTCCTCTTCAAGGTGAATGGCCACAAGCACACCTTCCAGGCTGCCAGTGCCACCGAGCGCGACAGCTGGGTTGCTGCCATTGAGGCCAAGGCTGCTGAGGCCAAGGCTGAGAAGGAGGCCATCACCTCCAGCGAGGGCTACAAGGCTGAGCTCGAGAAGCTGAGTAAGTTAGGATCGTTCCTAAATGGATTGTTATCATGATCTAATATCAAGTAGCCAAGCCCGCTGTTGCTGAGCCCGCCAAGAAGCCCGCTGAGGCTAAGGAGGAGGCCAAGGATGAGGCTGCCCCTGCTGAGGAGAACAAGGACAGCAAGGCCAAGAGCCGCTCCCAGTCCCGCAAGCGCGCTAGCATTTTCGGAACTCTCCGTGGCAAGAAGGAAGAGACTGAGGAGAAGAAGGAAGGTGACAAGACCGAAGAGCCCAAGCCCGCTGAGGCCGCTGCCGAGCCAGCTGCTGAAGCATCCGCCGCTGTCGAGACTACTGAAGGTAAATACCAAAGCTAACTCGATTGTCTTTGTGTGAAGCTAACTTTCCTCAAGCCGCCGCTGCTCCTGCTGAGCCTACCGAGAACAAGGAGGACAAGGAAGAGAAGGAAGAGGAAAAGAAGGAGGAGAAGAAGGAAGAGAAGAAGGCTGAGACTAAGTCCAAGCGCACTTCTCTCTTCGGCAACTTCTTCCAGAAGGTTACTAGCCCTTCTCACGAGAAGTCTGAGAAGGAGGCTACCGCTCCTGCTGAAACCCCCGCTGTTGCCAGCACCGCTCCTCAGCTCGACAACCCTGTCGAGGAGGCTTCCGTGAAGCCCATTGAGCCCGAGACTGTGACCGCCCCTGCTGAGGCCGAGGCCGCCAAGGATGCTGCTCCCGCTGCGCCCGCTTCTCCGGCCGCTGAGACTCCCAAGGACAAGCGCCGCACTTCTTTCTTCGGTAACTTCGGTAAGAAGAAGGGTGACTCTGACAACGAGGCTGAGGGCGAGTCCAAGCCCAAGGGCAACAAGCTTGGTGGCCTTTTCCGTAAGCCCAGCAAGGCTGTGAAGTCTGAGCCCAAGGAGCCCGCCACCGAGGCTGAGGCTAAGGCAGAGGGTGCTCCCAAGGAGGCCACCGTTCCTGAGTCCGCTGAGGAGTCCAAGCCCGCCGAGCCTGTCACCACCACTGAGGAGGCTAAGCCCGCCAACGTCTCTTCCACCTCTGCTCCTGTCCAGGCCGCCGCATGAAGTGCTTCTCCAAGCCGCGTCATTGAGTATGAAAACTGGTGGGATCAGTATGGAGTACACACTTAGTGCTTCTCCCCCCTAGTGATGAGTGCTCATGGTCTCATAATTGAAGACAAAAGAAAAGATCATTAGTAATTGTTTCTTGATATTATTTTGTGTTGATTCCAGTGTCACTGCTTTTGGTGCCTTGCTTCGCAGCGAGGATCTTGCCAAATTGAGTGTCAATGATACCCTCTGCTGCTTTGGCGGTTATTTCCGACTCTGATGTTCTTTTCGCGTCTGGGTCGCATTTCATTCCTTTATGATATCCGTTCCCGCGAGGATCCCTAATTTGGCCTTGCGTGCGTTCCCGCTGTGCGCCGTCCAAACTAGATTGATACCACTGCTGTTTGCGTTTTCATCGTTGGTTTAGTTCTGACTGTCTTTCGCCGTTTGATGCTTCGTACTTTGATACCCTATTGGGAGGAAGGATGGTCTTTGCCAGGGCGGGTCCCCCGCTGTGCAAATCGACCCCAATCGTCTACTGTCGTGGGCACGTTCCATGGCGTGCATACGCCGTGTGTACTAGCGCACAGCATCATAGGTAATAGCTAATAGAATCCGTAACTTGTCTTTGTACCCACATCTTCCCTGTAATGATCTACTTTTCCTGAAACTCGTACGTTGCCTTGCATCGAAACTTCATCCACCGTGAGGGTGGCAGTGGAACACTTCCGATTCGAGCCCCATCCCACGGATCCAGAACCCGGAGCAGTAGCTCTGTCCAGTGTCTAATCCTAATTGTAGCCCTGTCATAAGCATGCCGACTAGGATCCGGGATGTACCTTAATTGATCTTGAACATTGAGCTAGCGAATTGGCATCCGAATTTGACACTGTAGATCAACGCCTTGGAATGGATCAACCGAACCCAGGCCTATAAGGCAACTAATTGATCCACATTCCAATAATCTGATTTAGTCCCATTCATCAATGAAATTTACACAGTAGGACTTGCTTACAAAACTGAACCCGCCCTCCCACCTCAACGCAGTGCTTTACTACGCTTCTGGGGGTTTTTTTTCGGATTAGTAAAATGGGTCTAGTTAAGTCCAATTAAGAAGATAGTGATATTTAAGAATAGCGCCACCTGGTCAGAGGCATATACCTCCGGCACCACGTTCTCCACGGCGGTGATGCCGGTGGAGCTGTATCTATCCGTTGCAATCTAGGGTCAAACATTTGCATGATATATACAACCTAACTTGGGAATCCGTTTCTGCTCGATATCAGAATGTTTTTGGTTGGATGGCTAGTATTTCATATATATCACCCTGTTTGGATATCCAGGGTGATTGTTGCTTATCAGATGTAAGACTTGCGATCGCCTCCATACAACAGACGTGCTCAATATATCCTTGACTTACTATGTTACGTCTAGTCTGTTACCACAGGCTTCTCGTCGGTAACTGAGTGTCAGACTATATTTAGGATATATCTGAGACGATTAGTGGGCTTGAAGAATTTGAGTTCACTTTCTTCTCCGTGTAGATTTCTTCTTTCTATTCTTGGTCCTTTGGATTTGAGACAGTATCTCGTATTATGGGTCAAATTTGGGTTCTGTACAGCATGTTCTTGATAGTGTACCAATGAGGGCACCAAGAACTCTTGGAACTACTATTTATATATATGAGAGACATATACGGAGTACACATATTGTCCCTCGTTTCAATTTTACTCGCATGTGTTGATATTAATTGTTGGGTTTGGTCGAACGACAAGAGTGCTTAGAACGGGGTGTTCGCTAAATATGGTGGGTGTGTCTCCATGTAGTTATAGTAAGATTGATTCCGTCGGTTTGAAGAGAGATGTTTTATTGAGCTTCATACCAGATGTACACATAGGAAGCGGATTAGCACACTCGGATGTACTCTGTCCAAATTCTCCAGAGTATACAAAATTTAAATTCAATAATAAGCGGGACTCGCACGGGACGTACACCTGTTCGTTTTTCGCGCCCTGCTTCCTACTCCGTAGATACCGAGTGGGACACATGATCGAGAGCAATCAAGGTTCCAGTACTCCATATGTACATCAGATGACAATGTCTACATCTGGGGCTCTCTATGCCCATTTCACCGATGACGATGGCTACCTATTCGTGCGCCATTATCCTAAGAAACACGAAGTCGATTCGCAAGGGTGGACGGCGGATACGCCCGGCGAACATGCAGAATCGAAATACACTTTTTTGCCTCTCGGCGAGACGAGCGAATACTCGATCCGAGTGAAGATTCTTATCTGAGACTAGGCCCGACACCGGGGCAGGTCATAAGATATCGGGCCTCGGTGTTTGCAATAAATAGCAGATTGGGTTAAAAAGTCATATTGGATATTCTCGCCAGTGTCGTTGGTGGAATGAAATTAATATAAAATTCAATCTACTCCGAGGTGCAGTGGTGATTGTGCCATGCTTTTTTCGGAGTAGATTGGATTACTCCGAGTTAGGGCTGGTGCGCATGGACGGTTTTTGTTTTCCCTTCCTTTTTCTTGCTCTTCTTTTTCCAATTTCTTTCCCTTCGGGTTCTAGTCTAAATGGGGTTCTCGAAACAACGGGACCTCCACTTTGGCAATGGGTTGATCGTTTTCGTGAAATATACACGGTTTCTATCTAGTGCCGAATTTAGATTCCGATAGTGATGTCTTGGGTTTCGTATATTATTATCATATGCATGGAGAATTCCGACTCAGATGAGGGTGAGTTTTTTTTAGTAGTATTCTGGACGGACGATCTTCCCTTCTTTAAAAAGAAGAGGAAAATGGTAAAAAAAAGAACAAGAGAGAGGGCAAAAAAAGAAAAAGACGGCTCAAGCGGAAGAGAATTGGGGCTGATAGAGTTTGGAAACACGCCCTTCGACCAAACTAACTGTGCATGGCGGGGAGTGAAAAAGGGAAATTGATCTCCACGCACATTATTAATCCTCGCAAGTCCCTGCTTTTAACCATTCAGAATTCCTGATCGCTCGTAAGCATCATTGCAAACTTGCCCATCATGTAGGATCCTGTAGCCTAAGGCCTCTTACAGCGATAAGTGCGGCTCAGCCCCCATTCCAACGGGAATTGGCTCCATTTGGCGGCGTCCCAATGCAGACCCCGAGACAGCCTGGAGAGGCTGTGAAGGCTGCAAGATGCAGTCGCAGGCGGGCGCTGATGCCTAGACTTCCCCGAGCGTTACCCTCATTGGACAATGGATGTGACGGGTGCAAGACAGGACGCGAACCAGTTTCATCATCTAACTCTTCCTCTAAACACACTTACGCTGAGACTATTGTAGCACTAAAACACTTGGGAAGCGGTGGAGAAGCCAGCCGAGTACGAGGTCGGTACCCGCTGCGTAACCTGCAAGTGACTTCAGGTTACCGTGCATTCTCTGCGTGGGTGCAGGTATCTTGCTCGTACCCGGCCCCAGGCACCGGAGATGCCTGGGGACACCCGGGCATCCACTTAGTGGACAAAGTGGCCAATCAGAGCCCCGGATGGGCCTATGACTCACACCTGCTGACCGCGTCCATTGGTCTAACGCCCAATGCGGTTAGTGTAATAGGCGGGGAAGCGGTCGGTCATGATTGGCTACCCGTCGGATGAAGGGCGCACACACTGCGTTTAAGAAGTGCCTGAATTCCCGTCGCTGCCTTGGGTTCTCTTTTCCTTTTTTTTCTTTCCTCTTCATCTCTTTTCTTCTTTACATCTCAACCACATATTATTTTAACACCGTCATCATACAGCCATATACTGAACAAGAACTAGAATATCAAGAAGCGTTCCAAAATGGCCTCTTTCTAAATCCCCCCAAGGAAAGAGCTCGTCTATCTCTCGTGAGACAGGCATCATAGATCCTCAACGGACTTCGTCTTTTATCAATATATCTTCTTCCCACCCCTCAGAGTCTCCTGTCCCAGGACCTCTGAACTTTAGCACCACCTCGGGTAGCTCAAGTTCTTTGAACAACATTTCTACGTTCGACCTCACGTCGTTCAACACGGATCACCATCAGCAAACATGGCTCCCTACACCCCCGCCCCCGCAGCCTACGGCTCAGAATCTGAATTCCAACAACGACAACAACAGTGCCAACTCCCCACAGGAGGACTTTGTGCTATATCCTCCCCAGCATCCCAGGGACTCTCGTGCGCCAGCACCTCTGAGTACAACCCCTAGATTTCCTGCCAATCATCCATCTCTGGTCCGTCTTGGGCACCTTTCTCGACGACACACTCTCAGTTTGCAGCAGCAGCGTCAGCAGCAGCAGCTCTCAGCCTCGCCAGTACAGGTTCCTCGCTTGACCAGACTTGCCTCGCAGTCTACCGGGTTCTCTCTGTCTTCGTCTCATCGGTTTAGTCCCTCCACTAGGAAGCACCTTTTGCGTCTCCACGCAGCGTCCGTTGCTTCGAATTCTCCACCTGCAGTTCTGAATTCTGCGTACCCCAATCGCCCGCCCGTTCCCCTATTCAACAGTCCCGCCAACTCCACCTATCAGAAACGGCAACAAATCCCAATAAATCACCGTCGCATAATGTCTACTCCCAACATCGCTCAAGGTGAGCTTTGGCTGCGCTTCGTTCAAACCCATAAAGGGGCGCATGTTAACATTCCATTAGATCTCCCCGATCTCTTCGATCTTCACGCTGATCGCTTCGGGGACGATTTGGTTCCTACGACGGAGCCCACCATGCTCTCCCCTCATCAAATGACCGCCGGCGTCATGGCAGGTCCCGATTCCCTAGCGGATCTGCCATCTGGCACGATCTCGCCCAAGGACCTGTTCATGGATGCCTCTGCTCCGCCGTCGGCCTCTTTCACCGATTTGAGCACTCCCTCATTCGAGTCCCCAGGATACTTCAGCCAAGAACCTTCCCCCATGTTCGCTACGGACTTGGAACTAGGCCCTGGCGTTGAGGAGTGGGGTTCTCTCTTCCCCAACCAGGATGATTTCTCCTTGGGTCTTGATACCACTGCCCTTGAACTTGCGGCTCTGTCGCAGCCCAAGCTCAAGCCAGATGTCACCCCTGCATCTCCTATGATCCGGACTACATCGTCCCGTGCTACGTCTCCATCCGCTCGTTCAGTGACCAAGCACTCCACTGTGGCCGGTGTGAACGCGCGCCAGAGAAAGCCTCTGCCTCCGATCAAGTTTGATTGTCAGGATCCCGTGGCCATGAAGCGTGCTCGCAATACCGAGGCGGCTCGTAAGTCTCGCGCCCGTAAGCTTGAGCGCCAGGAAGAGATGCAACGCCGGATTGATGAGTTGGAGAAGTCGCTCGAAGAGGCTCAACGTCGTGAGCAATATTGGAAGGCTCTTGCCCAGAACAAGGCCTGAGTGATCTAAAAGTCGGTTTTTTGTTACGTGATATATGCTGTTTCTGCAAGTTCTGTTATGAATGGGCTCTGCGGTGGGCGGGGCCTTGGAGCCTCTCGTCAACCCAGATGTCGGATGCACTCACTGGTGCCTGGAACTGGTCACTGGTGATGTGGCTTCCGACAGGATAAAAGTTTCTATTGTCATATTTAACATATGGTCGTGTGCTAGCACTTTCGGACCGTTTTGTCTTGATTATCTCTACTTCTTGCCAGTATTGGCTATCTATTTTTTGCTCATTGTTTTAGTTAACTCATGGGCTTCTGATGTTTCATTACTTCGCAATAGCCGGTTCTGATGTCTCCTATTTTGCGGGATTGACTCGTGGCTACTAATTCTTTTGGATGTTTTGCTTGATTATTTGGATTGTTTGATGCTTGTGATTTCACGTGTATTAGATTGTCTACGAATCAATCAATCTTACTCTCAAATAATAATAGTCTACTCCGTACTCGGTAATTCTCTGGAATGTTGACTAGTCCCAGTTCTGAAGATATTGAGAACCTTTCGTATTTTGATATAGTATTTTACCGCCTTTGAAAGTCGCCTCAGACTGCCATAAGTATCTTTAGGGCCACCTGTACCATGTCTTTGGAAATCGTGATACTAGACCTTTAGGTCCCCCATAGTACTAGTACTCTGGGAGTAGTAGTAAGATTTAAGGGTAGTAAGATACTATCTCTTAGGCCCACTGATTAGATCTGGGGTAGTAAAACGATAAGATTTCGACGAAAACCTGTATTCTCTCAAATTTCGATTCACTCCTCCATATTGGACCCTATAATGCTATGCTTATCACTTCAGATTGTAGGTTACCTTACTATCAACTCTTCCCGCAGTCGATACTAATCCTTGTCCAGTGATCTCAGCATTGGTTCTAATAATCCCGGTGAACCTGGGTAGGACCTTTCGTTTTCTTTTCATTTCTTTTTTTTTCTTTTTTTTTTTTTGTTTTCGTTT